GCCTAGCCTTCTTGGTGAGTTCCATGCCAGTGAAACCAACCAGCCAAACCAAACCAAACCAAACCAAACCAACCAACCAAAACAAACAAAAAACCCAAAACAACAAACCTAAAAACAAAACCCCAAAGTATATGTATCTGCTGCTGTATTGACCATAGCAAGGAGTGAACCCAGCCCAGACACCGTCAGTAGGAGAACGGATCATGAAGGTGGCCACATAGACATAATGGAATTTTACTCAGCTGCAGGGAAAATGAAATTAGGAAAATTTCAGGAAGTGGATAAATCTGGTAAATATTACATTAAATTAGGTGACTCAAACTCAGAAAAGTAAAAAACTGTATGTTGTCTCTCCTATTCAATGTAGGTCTTCTTTTCCTTGTATGTCTGTGTATAAATGGATGTGAAAGTACATAAAGCCTAAAAAACAAACAAACAAACAAACAAACAAACAAACAAAACTGGAAAGAGATGAAGACAGGGTAAGGAGTGGTGGTGAGTTAACACCAGGAGAGGGCAAAAAGACACGTCACCAGGAAACAGAGGAGACAAGAATTCGAGGGGGGTGTGTGTGTGTGTGGGGGTATCTACTAAAACAGATCCTTTGTTTGTAAATAACACTTTGTATGCTAACTTAATTTTTTTAATTAAAATTTAAAAGATCCAAACAAAAAAGAACAGACTGAGTAATGACACTTCAGGATGTCTTCTTGCCTATCTATACATACGTGTACCACCCACTGAAACATAAACACACACACACACCCAAAAAAACACAAACACACACACAAAAAGACAAAAACCAACCAACCAAAAAACAAACAAACAAACAAACAAACAAACAAACAAACCACCACCACCACCAAAACCCTTCCAGCCTGAGAAAGAAGCTGTCTGTAGATTCCTGGTTTTTTCCAGACAGAATCCTGCTATGTAGTCCACATCTGCTCAGCATGCCGACTCCTCCGGCTCCACCTTCGGTAGTGCTGAGTTTATAGTGTGCACCACCAATCAGTTTTTCCCTCCTCCCAACATACGAAATACTTCACACACTTGTGTGTCATTCTCTCTTGCACGGACACTATGCTGATCTTTATCACTAAGATGCTGGCTGCGGCCAGGAGCAAAGGTCTGCAGAATCCAGAGAGATGCTCATCTTGCCTTTCCCAGGTGTCTACAAGGACCATGGCCTGTTTCCATAAATCACCACTCTGGAACCGGGAGAGGTCTGAGCACACTCTCCGGTAACTCTAAACTCTTCAGACAATTTCTCCAATTTTTAGTATTATTTACACTTTCTAGAACCACACTGGGGGGTGGGGGAGGGCATCCCCACCAATAATGTTGAACGAGTTGGTAAAATAAACAGAAATAAAGTTTGAAAAAGACATTTCTCAGAAAACAAAGCCCCTTGTTTGGTCCAGGCTTTATACATACTTTAAGTCTGGAGATTGCTGACATTCAAAGATGCGCTGGAGGGCTGTTTACCATGGAGGGAAATAGCTAATGAAATTGTACCTTGTCATTCTGTCCACCAGGTTACCAACCTCATTATGAAAACACGGTCCTTCTCCTGTTGAGGAGGAACTGCTGTGATGTACCTGTCAAGATCATGTAGGAGATGGCTTCTAATTTGGAGGAGTGGATCTGGTCAGCATCGGTTTTCACTGCTCCCTCAAACAGGACCAGGTTCCCAGCATGCCAGGGGACTTTGGAATCAAGGCCCAGTCTGACAGACTTCCCATGACTTTCCACAGTTTATTTTCTATCTCACCAGGCAGTGCCTAGCATAGCAGAAGACCAAAGTCACGGTAGCAGTAAGGGGCGTCAAAAGAATGAGAATACAGGTGTAACCCCTCTACCCACCGAAGTCCCAGGCCAGATGCAAAGCAGCAGTGATTTATAGTGGAAGTAACTGGGCCTGCCACTGACTGACCACATATGACAGCACCCCCTCCATTCCAATTTGGTCTCTATTTAAATCAAGGAGAAAGCTGTAGTGTAAAAAACGCTTTACGTTTTGCTTCTGAACTACAATGGGCCCCAGACTCTTCCACAAGCACCTGTAAGACTTGTTTTCCTGTCAGCAGGATGCAGCTTATGGCTCCGTTATAGCTACAGTAGCAAAATAAAGTCTACTTTGTAAAAGTATTTACATAGGAGTGGATTCAAATAAATATTAAGAAAATAACAGCATATGTGTACAGAGAATAAATAAAAACTAAGTAGGCAGGCGAGGCAATGAAATTTGGCAGTGTTGGATATTGCACCAAGATGAGGCAAAAACAAAAAGAACAAAAACAACAACAACAAAAAAAAAAAACAACTTATGGAATCCTTTCACCAGACAGCAACTCAGAGTCTCATCAGAAATTTCACTAAGAGTTTTAAAAATGTCTATGAAGGGCTAGAGCTTTGACCAGCAGATAGGAGGGTTTGCCATGAGTTCCAAAGCCCAGCATAATTCCTATGCCTGTAACCCCAACATTGTGACAGAGTCAAGCAGGTCCCAAGAGCTCAATGGCCAGCCACCCTGAAAGAAAACTGCTGCCATCTTCAGGTTCTGTGAGATCCTGATTCACTACAACAGGGCAGAGAGCAATGGAGGAAGACATTTCACAACTGCATGTACACACACACACACACACACACATACACACACACACACGGCTGATGGAAAAAAAGCACTCCATTTAGAACTTTGCTTCCACTATCTGCTGGCTGGTTGAGCAGATCCTGTAGAGAGTATACCTTCTACACAGACACTACTCAGACCTTTAAGACCTAGGCACCAGATTCCTCCAAGGTGGTCCTTCCTCTGAGCCCGGAAGCAAGCAGAATTGAGAACTGAGAATAGAGTTAACAATATACAGCTTCTATTACAGACAAGTTTAATTTCAGGGTGAAAGGCACAAATTAACACATTAAAAAGCCTAAAAGTCCAGATGACTACAGATGCTCATTCCATTTTACAGGAATACCCTTTCTTTGGAATCATTTGTGGAGTAACACGTGAGACCTGGGAGAAAAGGAGCCAGAGAGCTAAAAGACACGTGAGCAACATTCCAGACAGATGGACTCCAACGTGCTGAAGGCCAGGAGATGGTAGCTAGGTTCTAACTGTAACATAGGAAGGGTCCAGAAAGAAGGGGTGGGGGCAGTAAGGCAAAGCTGTTAAAAGCCGAATTTTATTCTAAAAACAATGGGACTCCCAGTGCGTGTTTTAGTAAGAGTGCCTTGGCCCGTCTCATCTTTTAAAATGAGTATATCCAATACGACTTTGTGGACACGTGGCGATAAGGACGCTTCTGCAGGAGGTGGGTGCTGAAGAAGATGGTCAAGGAGCAGTGGGTAATTTGGGGGTACAGTAAGCACATCGTAAAACTGCCAACTTTCCCCGGGCGCTCAGCTCTGCCCAGACATAATTCCAAGAGTATACACTCATCTCACCCTCAAGACAATCCTATTTCACGGCGGTGTCCCTAGTGTGGAAACTGAGAGCAGAGAGGTTCAGAACCTGGCCCACGGTGGAAACGAAAGCTCTATAGCGCGTCCCAATGGCCAGGACCGCGGGGTCCGGGGCTCAGAGCGGAGGGGACCCTGCCCAAGGACTCCAGCCTCGCCGCTCTCCCCGCGGTCGCCACCGAGCCCTGCTGGCCTTCTACTACCACATCAGATCGCAGCGGCCAGCGCGCCGCCATCAGGAGGGCGGGTGCAGAGTTACCGCCGCCGCCAGAGACCGCCCCGAGCCGGAGCCCGCAGCCGCAGACACCTACCTGACCCGCCAGTCCGCCGCGGCCGAGACCACGCCCCCGCGGCGCGCCCGCGCATGCGCACAGTTCAAACTCGCGGGCTCCGCCGCCTTGCCAGGCCTTCCCCTTCCGGAAGCCCCCGCTGGGTCCTAAAGACCGCCTCATTTTTCCTGAGACTAACAGTTTCCTCACCCTCTGCAAGTTTCCTGTTGACTCCGTAAGAAGACAAAACAAAAAAAAAACAAACAAACAAACAAAAAAAAACCCAGAAAGCTGTGGCTAGCTTCTCTTGTAGTTAATTTGCAAACAACACCTCCATTCTAGAGATGCTCTCAGGCAGCTTCAGGCGCTCAGGGCTAAGACAGGCATGCTTTGGGAGATAGGTGAGCTGAAGAAAAAGGCGGCTGCTTCAGACTTTAAAATCGATTTCTAGATAAAAAGTTAAACGACTTCCCATACTCACAACCTCCTTGGAAGGTTTCTCCTTTGAAACGGGCATGTTCTTGTCAATCTCACTGATTTGCCAGTAGAGGGCTGTGATTATTGGAAAACGAAGCTCTTGTCCGTATTCCTCATCTTCTATAAAGATGTCTGGTATGGAATTCTTGTGCTATTCTTTAAGTCAGCCTCACCTCAGGCATCGCTTTCCGGGAGTTGAATAATTCTGTGTAAACGCTCAAAACGGGTCATTTCGTTTAATTGTCCTAGACACAGTGATACGTGCCAGGGTTACCAAAGGGGCGAAAATAAACACAGTAACTGCTCTGAGAAGGCCGTTCAATGGCTTGCTGATTTAAAAATGAATCTTGGAGTTCAGTCCATTTTTGCGTGTTTGTGTGCTTTCTTCACATTCTTCGTGTGTCTCCTACCAAATCTAGCAAAGACACGGGTCAAAATAATCAAAGAGTTTATTGTAAGTTTGGTAGAGAGCCTGAAAGCAATCAAAACGTGCTAAGAAAGCACAGAAGTACCGGATCTGGATCTCCCTCACCAGCTCTCAAGGAGTCAAGAAAATCGAGAAGGGGCGGGACCAAGAGCTGGGGGCGGGCCTTGGAAGCCCCACCCCGTTGTTAAACATCGTTTTTAACCAATTACAGTAGGAAATCAACGTCAGTGGTTCGGAGGTTGGCCAATGGGAGGAGACGTTGGAGTTGCGCGGCGAAGTTGAGTCCCAGCGGTGGTGGGTGTGGCCGCGGTGGCTGGTCTGTGTTCTCGCTGGGCCAGAGGAGCTGCCTAGAGTCGGTAGGGATGTTCCGGTCAGAGGCGGGCGCCAGGCCGCGAACCGGCGAAGTCAGCGCCTCAGAACGCAAGAAATGGGTGGAAGTAGGTGTGGGAGCGCGACCTGAGTTTGGACTTAAACCTGACCAGGGCCACTTCTGTCACCCCTCTATGTTTCCCTCAACCGGGTTCTAGTCAGCCCTGAAAAAATAAACTGTTCTTAAAACCGAAGCATAGCTGCAGGACTCTGATCACTTCCCCGCCCACCACACGGTCTACGGATAATCACCTCTATTCTCGTTCCCTAACATCTGAGCGTTTGCGTACAGTTTATTCCAGTGATTTAGAAGAATGGATTTGTCAGCCCCTTAAACTTTGGGGAGAGGGAACAAAGGGAAATTTTTTAACTCAGCGATTATATTGCTTGAGAAATTAAGCTAGAGTAATGAAACCTCATTTTGAAAGCTCCACAACCAGGTTGAGTTTAAGATGTTTGTGTTCCTGGTTTCTGGCTTACTAACTGTAGATGTTTGATATTCCTTAGGTATTTAAAGCATGCGATGAAGACAACAAAGGCTACCTCAGCCGAGAGGACTTTAAGGTTGCGATTGTAATGCTGTTTGGGTACAAACCTTCCAAGGTTAGAACGTTTTCTCTGTTCCCCTCTGATGCTTCTTTCTCCCTTCATCTTCTCCTTTCTTTGGATGGGGCGGATAATGCTGTAGAAATGAATCCTAAGAAAATTGGCCAGGAGTGCTTTCTGATATCTGTAGAGCAAAAATCTCTCTTAACACTGAATTCCTCACAAACCCCTCCTCCCCTTAAAGGCCCAAACAGGCGCAAATTAGATATCTATGCCACTAGAGCCAACAAAACATCTCCACGAGTGTCCTAAAATTTATAAGAAATATGGGATGGTAGAGAGGGGAAGGCTGGGAGGGGAAGGTGAAGTTGTAATAGGAGGAATTCACCTACTAGCCGATATGTATAGTAAAATTTCTGGGTGGCTTTAATTGGTAAAAGTAATATGTTCATACAGTCCACAAGATCCCTTCTCTTTCCACTGGACTAGGGTTCCACTTACCAGGGGTTAACCAGTTTCTTCTGTATTGTTTACGTTCAGGGATAGGAACAGTCCTCTACTGAAATTCCATACTGTTTTATCTTGACATGCATTTTCCACTTAGCAGCAAACCCAAAGCACATATTACCACCTTAAATTATAGTTGTATAATATTCTCTTTAACCAGTCTACCCTTTGTTGTTGTTTGAATTAAGCTGCAAGCATTGTCTCAGTGAGCATCATTTTACATCTACATTCACCCACAGATCATGTCTGTGGAATACATACTTGTGTGTGTGTGTGTGTGTGTGTGTGTAAATCATGGATATTTAATTGCTGTACTTGGGAGCATTCGATAGATCAGGAATTCAAGGTCAATTTGGACTACATGGCGAGACAACATTTTAGAACAATGACAAACAAAATATCAAAATTCCTAGAAATATAATTGCTAAGTCTCAGGATGTACACATTTGAATTTTTTTTTTTTTTTAAAGATTTATTTATTTATTATATGTAAGTACACTGTCACTGTCTTCAGACACCCATATGAGGGCATCAGATCTCATTGCAGATGGTTGTGAGCCACCATGTGGTTGCTGGGATTTGAACTCATGACCTCTAGAAGAGCAGTCAGTGCTCTTAACCGCTGAGCCATCTCACCAGCCCCACATTTGAATTTTTATTATCTTTCTTTTTTTCCTTTATTGAAAGAAATAGGTAGGTAGCTAGATGATAGATGGACAGATGATAGATAGATAGGTAGATGATAGATAGATAGATAGATAGATAGGTAGATGATAGATGGACAGATGATAGATAGATAGATAGGTAGATGATAGATAGATAGATAGATAGGTAGATGATAGATGGACAGATGATAGATAGATAGGTAGATGATAGATAGATAGATAGATAGATAGATAGATAGATAGATAGATAGATAGATAGATGGATTCATACAGAGAGGGGGGACAGAGAGATGTGGCCCAAGGAGTTTCCTTAGGGTGCTTTACAAGAAGGTGAGCACCTTCCAGAGCCCCCCTGCCTTCCCTGGCAGGGTTTTGACAGGCCAAGTCTTGTACAGGTAATCACAGCTGTTGTGAATTCAATGGTGCAGAAACCACATCGTACCCAGAAGCCAGCACTGCGTTATCACTGCCCCCACTTCCTCTGCTTCTCACACTCTTTCACCCAGCTCCTTCCACATGTTCGCTGAGCCTGTGGAGGGTGTACTTGAAACGCTGTGGCTGTTAGTTGCCAGAAAAGGCTGCACAGCTCCTCAGTAATTAGAACACAGCCAAACCCCAGTGAATCTTCTATTTTAGTATGATAGTTTCCTATTTACCCCTGTCTCTGTGCTGTTCTGCTCGCCTGTTATAAGCAGCCTAGAGACGGATCCATTCTTGTTTAGCTACCGAACTAGAACTAATCAGAGTCAAGACACTGTCCAAATACAAAAGAGTAAACTACAACCATCAAGCAGAAGGAGCACTCAAGTCTTCCTAGAATGCTCTCCCAAACCCCTTTCCCCAGAACGGACAGTTAGGACTTAATTGCTCCTCATGAGTTGGGGTAGCCAGGGACTCAGTCTGTGATATCCCATTTCTGTGCCTGTCAGTATGCTTGAATGCACTACTACTCCACCGTAAATATAATCTGCCTTCCCCCTAGAGGGTTGGCAGACAGCCTGGGGTGGATTCAGAGTGGTTGGAGATTTTTAGCTCCTGAGAGGCCAGTTATGAGATCAGAGAGCTAGCCTGGACTGGCTCTGAAATTGCGGCTGCTCTGTTAACCTGCAGTCATTTCTCCTGGAGTTCCAAGGCAGGTGACCTGTGAAGCCTGGATGTTTTAAAGCCTCGGATTTAACCTGGGCTCCCCTGGAAAGAGAGCTCACCTCAGTTTGCTTTTTATCCCCCCTTATTATTCTAACCTACTTATTCTAACCTTAGGCCATGTAAAGAATTTAATGACAGGGACAGTGGTGTGGTAATGTACATACGCTCGGTGAAGTTTGACAGCTTTTACTTTACATATTGGGTTGAGGGTTTATGGATTTTTTTGTTAAATCTTTTAAAGAACTTACGGTATTTATGTGTATTGGCATATATGGGGGGTTCGTGGCCATGGGAAGACAACTTATGGAAGTCTGTTCGTTCCTTTGACTTTGTGAGTCTCAGGGGTAACTCAGGTTACCAGGCCTGATAGAAAGTGCTTTTGCCTGCTGAGACATCTTACTGGCCCTCACATTTTATTTTTTAAGGCTAATGACACATTTAATTGGTTGTAGGTCACTAAACAGTCAAGCACAACCATAGTAAACCACCTATTCGCTTGCCAGGCAATTTACCAGAGAGGAATTTTTTTTATCAGAGAGGAAATGTTCAATGTATACCTTCTCATATTTTAAATTTTAGACTAGGTTCAGTGCTAGAGTTTAATTTTAATACAATTTTTAAATATATAAAATACTGATTGGAAGTCAGCAAATTAAACGTGATATATAAAAAAATCCTCTCATAGACTGTCTTTTGAAGAATCAAATATGAATTGTTACTTTGAGCAACCATGACACTACAATATCAGCTCATAGAAGACTTAGAGAATAACTCACTTCTGCATTGATGTTTGCACAATGAAATTTATTGAATCTGTTTAATGAAAAGAGTATCTGCCAGCTGCTGGAGATGTCAAGGTGAACACATACAGTCTCTGCTTTGGAACAATTTCATTTTATATAGGGAGCAAGATGGGTGGGCAGCTATGGCAGGTGTCATTTGTACTAAAGACGCTCCATAAATATTCTATGAAGCATCTAGGAGCCCTTTGTGGCCATAAGACAAGCTATGCCCTGGTTTTTCCTGGATGCACTGGCAGCAAAAGAGTGGTGACGTCACCGAGGAGGAGAGAATCCAGGTGGCAGTGGGTTCAGAGAAGTCAGTTGGGACGAGGGCAGCAGGGCAAAGTGAGTTTGAAGTGGTAACTGGTATTCCCTGGACATTTGATTGTTAGGTACTGTATGGAGTTCTGAGGGTCTACCTCTTAAATACAGGAACCTCATTGGGGTAGAGAGGTGGTAGGGGCACTGGAGGTAGATTTGGGGCTCAGTTTATAAGGGGTAGCTCAAATAGGAAGACTAAATACCGTTCCATAGGAAGCTTCTGCAGGCCGTGAGCAACACCAGTCCAGGGAAAGAGCTCTGGGGAAGCCTGCATTTAAAGATGGGTGGGAATTCGTGACAAAGATGGACTAGGCTCCCTGGGGAAGGGACCTAGGGGAGGGGCAGGGACTCAAGATTATGGAAGATTCAAGACTGGCACCAGAAAAAAAAAATGTCAGTTACCATCAGTTACCCGTATCACCAATGGGAGGGGACTGCTTCTGTGTTAATATTTACTGAAAGCAGGTCTCAGAGCTTTACATGTGGTGTGTCCTCACTACAGTGTTTTGTGTTGTTTAGGCAAAAACAAGCACTACCCTAGAAGAGACCAAACTGTTAACAGTGGTATCTACTAAATTGAACAAGTTATATACATCATGTTTTTGCACTGATCATGTGTTACTGTTTTATTATAATACCTTCTTTTATTAGTAGGCTCTCACTGTGTAGCCCATGCTGGCTTCATTGTCTCCCTTCCTGCCTCAGACTCACAAGACTGACATTACAGGTGTAATCCCACCTGGAATAGACCCATCACACCTGTCTTGGGTTACGTTTAGCATCAGGAAAATTGAAAAATAAAGCTATTGTAACAACTACCTGTTTATTAATGAAATGGATTTTAGGTTATAATCTATATAAGACTGCCGAAGTGATTTCATATATTTAAGCTATTGGTCAGTGGAATGAAATTTGGGGGACCATTATTGCAGCTCTGTATTTGTTGTGGACGTTAAAGAACAAGAAAAATGACCATCATAATGACAAGTGAAGTTACTGTCTACGAGGTTCAATAAAGTTGGCTGCCCATAAAACATGTCTTCCCTTATGCCAGGAATTCAGAACTTGTACTTTGAAACATCTGATAAAGTTTCATGTCCTGTTACTCTTTCCTCTTTTCTAGATAGAAGCAGATGCTGTGATGTCTTCAGTAAATTCCAACACTTCTGGTAATACAAAAGGTAATATTTTTTAGTAGATGGTCAAGAAGCTAAAATTAAGAACAATGTGATTAAAATATGTAGTTGCATCTCATTATTTTTAAAGAAGCTTTAAATGAAAAAGAAAATTTGCTAATATATGAAGTAATGGGTTTCATTATAGTATTTTCTTTTTTATATACATCTTTATTTTATTTATTTTATTATTATTTATTATTATTATTATTTTTGCTTTTTCGAGACAGGGTTTCTCTGTGTGGTCCTGGAACTCACTCTGTAGACCAGGCTGGCCTTGAACTCAGAAATCCACCTGCCTCTGCCTCCCAAGTGCTGGGATTAAAGGCGTGCCACCACCGCCCGGCTTCATTATAGTATTTTCATACATGTTCGTCCTTACTCATCATGGTCCCCTGACCCTCCCCGGCTACTGGTTCACTTCCTCACCTCTTGTCACCCCAGCCTGCTTTCTTGTCACATGAGTTCTTTAACTTTCTCTTCTTTTTTCCTCTCTTCCCCACTGTCTTAGTCAGGGTTTCTATTCCTGCACAAAACATCATGACCAAGAAGCAAGTTGGGGAGGAAAGGGTTTATTCAGCTTACACTTCCACACTGCTGTTCATCACTAAAGGAAGTCAGGACTGGAACTCAAGCAGGTCAGGAAGCAGGAGCTGATACAGAGGCCATGGAGGGATGTTACTTACTGGCTTGCTTCCCCTGGCTTGCTCAGCTTGCTTTCTTATAGAACCCAGGACTACCAGCCCAGGGATGGCACCACTCACAATGGGCCTTCCCCACAGGCCCCTTGATCACTAATTGAGAAAATGCCTTACAGCTGGATCTCATGGAGGCATTTCCTCAAGGGAGACTCCTTTCTCTGTGATAACTCCAGCTTGTGTCAAGTTGACACACAAAACCAGCCAGTATAGCTGTCTACTAGAACATCTCTGGAGCTCAGAGATCTTCAATTTGAATGTTTATATCCAAGATAAGATAATTCTATCTGGACAAGAGATATGTTGATGTGGACAAAGCAAAAGATCTCTTCATCCCCTCTCAGGTCCCCTTCCAGTTTCATAACCGATACATGAATTAAAATCTGAGTTCCATATTTGAGAGTGTTATTCTGAGTTGGACATATTTCACATAACATGTGGTTCTGTCCATTTCTTACAAATGCCATGACTTCATTTGTCTTCATGGCTGAATAAAATTCCAGTGTGTTTTAAATTTTCTTGACACATTTGTCTTTTGATAGACATCTATGCTGATTCCATTTCTGAAGTATTGTTCACAGCGCAGCAGTAAACATAGATGAACAAGGCTCTCTGGAAGGACCCAGGAACACTTATCTCAGCCACATAGGAATTTTAGCTTCGGGTTTTAAAAAACCTCTGCTGCTTTCTGTGGTGGCTACACCAGTTGGCATTCTCACCAGCAACAACCCAGGGTTCCTCTTTCCCATTGTGGTGTTTGTTAATTCTTCTTTGTTCTTATTGGTGTACATTTGTTATACATTATGCTGGGTCTCATGGAGGTAATTTCTTTCAAGTGAATCATGTACTTTGACCATATTTACTATCTTTCCATTCCTATAGTCTGACTTTTGTCCTCCTCCATTTATCTTCTTCTTTCTCTCATTTTTTTCCTTTTATGATGTGTGTGTGTGTGTGTGTGTGTGTGTTGTGGGTTATGTTTCTATAAAGAATGCTAAGACCTTCAAATAGGAGAAAATCAGTCTTTTAATGCCTGGCCTATTTCACTTAATGCAATGGTCTCTAGTTGCACTCATTTTATTTTTCAAATAACAACAAATTTATTCTCTTTATGGCAGAATAAAACTATTGTGTATTTATTCCACATTTTCTTTCTTTACCCATTCTTTGGTTGATGGACACATAGGACAGTGGCATACCTTTGTGATTGTAGGAGTTCAAGAAATATTACATGATATATATATGTATATATACATATATACATACATATATATATATACATATATATATGTATATATATATGTTATAGATGGGCTATTACAATGACTTACAGGCTATGGTCCAGCTAATCCAACAATGGCTGGCTATGAATAGAAAGTCTAAGAAACCAGAAGTTGCTCAGTCCATGATGCTGGGTGTCTCAACAGTCTACAGTAGCTGTTAGAACCACATAGAAGTAGGCTCTAATTGCAGTGAAAGAAAGGGCTTGCTAACAAGGCAAGGGCAAACAAGCAAAGAGCAAAAGCCTCCTTTCCTGTCCTTATAAAAGCTTCCAGGAGAAGGTGTACCTCAGATTAACAGTATGTGTGTTCCCACTTTATGATCTGGATTAGAGGTGCATCTTCTTACTTCGAACTCAGCAGAGATCCCTCATAAGTGTGGCCTCCATGTTTTGGATTACGGTTAACTCCAGATGTAGTCAAGTTGACAAACAAGAATAGCCATTCATGAAGGCATTTCTATGGTATGTTAATTCACAGTCCCTTAGAAATATACCCAGAAGTGATATATTCTCATTCTCTATTCTTATTTAGTATGGCCATTTGAGTATTAAAGGAATAACACAAGAGAAGGAACTGAAGAGGATACAAGAAAGAAACAACCCAAATTATGCTAATCTGTAGATGATGAGACCCTAAAGCAGTGGTTTTCAACATGTGGATCTCAACACCTTTGACAAGTTTCTATCTCCAAAAATATTTACGTTATGATTCATAATAGTAGCAGAATTACATTCATACAATAGCAAAAATAATTTTATAGTTGGGGGTTGCCACACATAAGAAACGGTATTAAAGGGTTGAAGCATTAGGAAGGTTGAGAACCACAGCCCTAAAGACTCCATCAGAAAACTCTTAAAAATGACAAGCATTCAGGAAAATAGAAGGGTATAAAATCAAAAAGACAAGAATCAGTAGCTTTTCTCTGTATAAATAATGAACATACTTAGAAAGAAATCAGGACAGCAACCCCATTCATAATAGATTCAAAACAAACAAACAAACAAACAAACAAACAAAAACCCGCAAAAAAACAAAATCCAACCGAACACCTAGGGATAAGTCTAACCAAGAAAACAAAGACTTCTACAGTATAAATTTTGAAACAGCGAAGATATTGAAGATGAAGCTGAAAGGTAGAGACATCTCACTCGTGGATAAGCAGAATCAATATCATGAAAATGGGTGTACCAGCAAAGACAATCTATTATTGCAAACCCATCAAAATATCTCTATTGGACTGGAGGGTTCAGGGCACCAGACATGGCCTGGGTACTATTCCAAGAGGAGAATACTGTCTTCAGAAGCAACCACAATTGATGGATAGGCCCAGTATATAATTATAATAATAGTCAACTTTAAAAAGTCACTCCTTAAGCATCAACTGGGAGTGAAGGATCTCGGACTGGGCAGTATGTACTAAGATATATTAAGATATACTGTGTATACTTAAGCAAGCAGTAACAGATATAATGACGTGACAGAACTTTTTATGTTAACTTGGTTCAGAAGCAGAAGCACTGAGGAACAGGTTGGGAAATAAGTTAATTGTTAATAGCACTTAATAATTTTTAAAGCTAAAGGATTAATAATTAAGTAGTAAAATGATATTTGGAAGAGGGAATGAAAGAATAAAGTATGAATAGATGTTTGGGTGTGATGGTTTGTATATGCTTGTCCCAGGGAGTGGTACTACTAGAAGGTGTAGCCCTGTTGGAGTAGGTGTGTCACTGTGGGTGTGGGCCTTAAGGGCCTCATCCTAGCTGCCTGGAAGTCAGTCTTCTCCTAGCAGCCTTCACATGAAGATGTAAAACTCTCAGCTCCTGTACCATGCTTGCCTGGATGCTGCCATGTTTCTGCCTTAATGGTAATGAACTGAACCTCTGACCCTGTAAGCCAGCCCCAGTTAAATGTTGGCGTTTATAAGAGTTGCCTGGGTCATGGTGTCTGTTCACAGCAGTAAAACTCTAACTAAGACAATGGGTTACAGGTGGGAGAGGGTTAATATGTGGGTTAGATGCATGATAAATAGTAAAGGAAATATAGAATAGGTACAGACAAAACCCCAGATATTCAGAAAAGTCATAGGACGAGCCATTGAAGTTACATTCAGACAAGTTATAAGCCAAAACTATCATATAATATGATAGTTATAATTATCAATTCTATATATTCTAGAACCAACTAAGAAAAGATTCTCAATGCGGGACTGTCTAAGTCAGATTGGCACATGGGCATGTCTGGGGGGTGGGTGGGATGTTTATTATATTGATGTGAGAAGAGCTGGCTCACTGTGTGGCATCATTCCTGAGTTTGGGAACCCTGGCCTGTCTAAGGCAAGGGAGTGAGCTAAGCACAGCGCACACACTGGCATTCACTCTCTCTCTCCCTTTCACTGTGACTGTGGCTGGCTGCTTCAAGTTCTTGCCTTGCCTTTCCCCCTAGCGATGGCCTGGATTTGTAAGCTGAATAAAACCCCCTTTCCTTAAAGTTCTTTCTGTCAGGATTTTTTTTTTAAAATCAAAGCAACAGAAAATAAACTAAAATAAGTGAAGTAGAAAAGTACCAAAAAACCTTAAAGTAAGAGAAATGAACTACAGTTGGAGATGCTGTGAACTCACTATCTTCCTACTTGGATAGATGTGCTTTCTGGTCCTCCCTCAAGGGGTTTTGTGGTCATCTCTGCTGATGTCAGTTCCTCTCAGCTTATAGTATTGTATTCTTCCTGCTGTGCGGACTCATGTTCCCATAGTCTGAGCCCCACACCTTCCACTGCCAGCAACCGATTTCATTATGTCCGGTGTTTCCATGTGGAATTCTGTGTAACTGGTGCTCCAAAGAGTGTGGAAGGCCTGGCTAGTTGGATTTACCTTTGTAACTAGGTGTTTCTTCCTGGCTGCCAGATTTACTCACACCTGCCTAGCCAACTGTTCAGTACACTTCTTGTGTTCTCTGACACTGACTGAGGCAACCGTGGAGAGGTTTTCCTTCTCAGGCTGATTTCTCCATGGTATCT